TTTAATACTAGCCATTTTATGTGGCGGTCCTATCAATAGCACGTGTATTTTCCACATCACTGTTACAACAAACTCACCCTCACCGTCGTGTTAACAGCACGATTTTTCATGCATCCAACTGAAGCAGTTCGCTTTTAGCCTCAACCGCACACCACTATTTGTGAATGTGAATTTCTCATGATGCATTGTTGAACACAGTTGAGTGCTGTTGAGCAACCCATAAGGGATATGATTGGATTGCTTATTACAATTGTTGATGCTATAACGCAGTTGAGTTGAAAAATGTTGCAGGACACTAAATTTGTAGTGAAAGCTTCGCGTTCCACTTGCTGTTCACGCGAAAATCGTAACTTAAAAAGATCAGCATTTTGCACGGGAGGCGCTGCGACCTAACTCCACGCGCAAAAATAAAATTGGGGTAGATTGAGCAAGTTGGTCACATGGTTCACATGGCTTCGCTCCAAAACCCCGTAACTGGATTCGTTAAAATAGCTAGATATAAACCGCTCCATGGGAACGAGGCGTATGTTTGCCGTATAGAGCAGTGTGCATACCAACAGAAGAACACCCTCTATCTCACCACCAGAAGACACATGCACGATGCAGTAAGCTTGACGCAACTAGGGACAAAAGACACGCAAAGGTCTGAGACGTTAAAATTAAAAGCTTCGGAGTACGGTAATGAACGAAGCCCTCATAACTTGCCCTGACTGCGTCTCCCACAACCAAAAGTGGGTACCGCCACCCATGGCCGCCATAAAAGGAAGGCTTCGGCGTCCTGAGACGGCCTCCAGAGGGCCGCCTATGTTTTTAGATCAGAAGGGGCAAGTGCCTCTAGTGCCCTCCCCTTGGATCCGTCCCTGCAGGACCGCTGTGATGCTTAAGTTAAAGCTTAAGAAAAAAGAACTATACAAAAATTCAGTCTAATTGCCCCTCGCCAAAACAAAGTCTGTTGAAAAAATCGGAGGAAGAGATTGTCGAGCCCTAGGCTCGCTCCCCCCCCCCCCCCCCCCATCATTAAAAAAGTTTATACCCCTGCGTGGTGGTACTGGCAAAACCACATGCTGATCTGAGCTTGTTGTTCGTGTTGCGAGCCCACCATACGGGCTGGTCCATTAGTGCTATTTCAGTTCAACAGATAATTTGGCTCCGATCTTCTGGTCAGGCATGCATATACATCTTTTTCGTATGGAGGTCTTTGAAACGCTGGCTCCGTGCCAGGGTGGCTCCAACCCGCCAGCCCCCAGCTGATACCATACAGGTCGCTGTCTCTGGGACCACAGCCCGGGCGCAATGGACCAGAACCCCTCCGTCGTATCTCCACGTTTGCAGGGATGTTGACACCTCATGACTGCAGGAATATAAAAGCCGCCATCTGAAAAGCAGTAGTGTGGTACTTCTGTTCTCGCGCGGTAGTCCGTCCAGAATTCTAATCAAACGGTTGCATTTTATATTGCCTGTCCCAGCTTTTCTAGCCGTGTGCTCTGTGAATCACATTCTAGATGGCATACTTCAATCTGCAGATGTTATTTGGATACAGACCTCAGGTTCTTCCTCTCCATAATACTGTGTTATCAGCATCACTCTGGATGGACACGGACACGGACACGGACGGTCACGGAATGGACATGGAACGGACACGGCGTTCACTTTGTGTGCATCGCCCGAATTAATGTTCCACGACCCGGGCTCGATCCCTTCGCACGACGTTCTCCAGAGATTTTCCAGGGCGACGCCAAACAGGTCCTAGCCCGCGCACATGCTGACCGCGGCTAGAACACCCCGGCAACACCCCATTCCGGTAGCCAACAGCGTAATCGAAACGGGGGTCAGACATCCCTGGCAGAAGGAGCGCTTCACGAGGACCAAAGGGCTTAACCGCCATCCAAACTTTTAGAAAAAAGTAGCATTGGTCCTTGAGCCATTGAGCGTTAACTGGAATGCAATCACCACAAACAGCTATCGGCCCCCGGTCTTGGTGGGCCTCCCATTTGCCCATGTCCAGTAGTCCTCCCGCCCCCAGAAGTCCCCACCGCATCCAGCGAACGAGGTGGAAGGGGGGGGGGGGGGGGGCGGTCGATAGGGCCCAGACTGGTCGCCGTCAGCGCCGCCAAGCGGCCGTCCCGGTACTACTGGCAGGGCGCGGAGGAGCTCGCTGGCGTGTAGTTGGGGGGGGGGGGGGGGGGGGAGGGGAAGAGGCAATGATCAGCCGGCCCAGCCGCCCCTGGGAGCAGGACGGCCTACTGGCCCGGAAGGGTGACCCTCACAGCAAACCCACCAGGGGCAGCGGTGCACCTGCCGCACTAGTGCCACGCGACGCCAGTTTGCAGCAGAGCACCAGTCTGGACACTGGCGCTCCGCACCCTCGCGTGCCGCGGGTCGAGGATTTCAGCAGCCAGGCCTCGGCAGGACTCGTTTAACTGGTGAAACATTCACACGCCTGAGTGAGTCTCTCGTAATGCGAGGCTCAATGACCAGCATTGCTGCCGGGGTGCGCGATATCCGCGGACGCCACCCTTGAAGCCGGGTGCTGCGACTGTCAGCGCTGGGCAGGGTTCAGCCGAGCAAGCGACTGTCAGCGCTGGGTAGAGCTCAGCCGACCAAGCGACTGTCGGCGCTGGGCAGGGTTCAGCCGACCAAGCGACTGTCAGCGCTGGGTAGAGCTCAGCCGACCAAGCGACTGTCAGCGCTGGGCAGGGTTCAGCCGACCAAGCGACTGTCAGCGCTGGGCAGGGTTCAGCCGACCAAGCGACTGTCAGCGCTGGGCAGGGTTCAGCCGACCAAGCGACTGTCAGCCCTGGGTAGGGTTCAGCCGACCAAGCGACTGTCAGCCCTGGGCAGGGCTCAGCCACCATGTGTCCCGTGGGCACGAATCCAATAGCTGAGGAAAACACAGTCTTTAATATTTACACTGTATTATGTCTCGAAAATAAAACAGTAGCAAAATGTGAAAAATCAACACATATTAATAAGTACACTCGGATCAGGCCGCGTAGTAGATACTCCAAAATACATTCCACATCAGTAATAAAATATATGCAAAGTTCGTCACGTGCCCTCAGACCCTGCCTTACAACTGAGCAAGATCTCCAACATCGAAAAGTAATTGTTTGTACACAACAAAAGCTCGCACAACACAGTCTGTGGACGTTGGTGGCCGTGCAGGATGAAAGTGACGGTGAAGTATCTAATTTACATCACATTGGGGTATATACATAGGACATAGCACTACAATCTATATAAGTATTGCATTATCATAAAATTTCCATTGTATTATTACATTTACGTATTTGTTCGATAGTTGTTCAGCGAATACTCATGGAATGTGCACTGCCGACCCACCCGTAAGGAGAGCGGACGTGCTTATCAGCGTCCTACGGGCCGTCTGCCCGGCTACACGCTAGCGATAATAAGACTTCAGGTACTAGTTGGGGCTACAAGCGAATTCCCGGTACGTGCCTGCCGACACTCGACGGCTATAGTAGAAAGGGGGAGGGGGTGACGGGCCACCAACGCCCGACCTCACACGCCACGCCAACATCCATTGATTCCGGCGCCACCTCTAACATCCAGGAGTATGTACAGCGACGCGCGGGGCTGGGCCGGCAGGCCGAGCCCGGTCAGAGGCCGCCGCGGGGCTGGGCCGGCCGCCCCGGCCCCGTCAGCGGCCGCCGCAGGGGCCGGCTCTGGCTTGCGTCGCCGCATTCCGACGGGGCCGGTCGATGCTGTGCCCGCGGCCGCTCTCAGTGGGGCTGGGGCCGACAGCCCCCCCCCCCCCTCTCTCGGCGCCTCACGTGACCTGAGCTGAGCCGGCGTCACTGCCGTGCCCCGGTCGCGCCTGTTCTGAATTGAGACGAGAGCTCGCATGCATAGCGCTACATACGGGGGCGACGCTACGCACGACGGGCGGCCACACACTTCCACGTCCAGCAGGATCGACGGTATTTGCATACGTTTGAAGGAAGCAATGAAGGCCCAGTTATTGCCGCTGAGTCGATGGTGCAAAGTAACTTCATTGTCGTGTTTTAGGCATCAACGACGTAAAAAAGTACAAAACGTTGAAGTTACTGGGAGGAATCACGACACAAAGTACTAGGTTGTCTAAGGTACAAACCTCCAGCGCGATGCCAGACGGCGGGACATCTAAACGGGCAACGCAAAGGTACCACAACAATTTTGGAAGACTAATTACTCATCTAGCAACCAAACTGGTGTGGAGCAGTAACCACAAAAATAAACACCTACACTCTACACAGATTCACGTCCCTGTACGAAAATAATCTCGTCCGTCACTCGCACCATCCGCAACATATATGAGCTATCGTAAGAAAATAAAACAGTTTTGTGCTCCGTTTCATTCTGTTGGTGCCTGCGCCCGGCCACAACGGCGGCGACGGCGGCGGCGGCGGCCGGCTATGGTCCGCTAACAGCGCTGTTGCCGCCGACCGGCGTGGCGCGCCTCGCGGAGGCCGGCGGCGGCCACGACGATGGCGGCGGCGGCGGCCGGCTATGGTCCGCCGGTAGCGCTGTTGCCGCCGGCCGGCACGGCGCGCCCCGCGGACGCCGGCGGCGTCCGCAGTGCGGTCCGGGCGGCGCGCGCGAGCGAACGATCGATGCACGCCCCGGGCTGGCGGCCGGCCAAGTCGCCCCGAAATATCGACGCTGGTGGACGAGCGGCCGCCGACGGCCAGGACACGGCTGGGCTCGCCGGCGGAGCGACTGAGTATTTTACAACCGTGAGTCGAACGTAAAACAGGGGCGCTCCGGCGGGCGGCGGCGGGCCGGCGCCACTCCACACCTTTGTGCGAGGCGAGCCGCCCCACAACGGCGGACGCTGTCTCACTCACATGCACGCGGTCACTCGGGAAGGCGAACGGGACCCTACGGTCGGAGAACACCTGCATCGACGGGAAAGACCCTTTCCTAGACGCTGGAGCGTCACTCGAGGCCGGCCAGGCTGACGGTGACGTCACACTGAGCCGACCGGGCGGATGATGACGTCACTCGGAGCCGGTGAGGCTGGCGGGGCTGGTGCGCTTGGAACCGATGGGACCGAAGGCGGTGCCGTCGAGCGGCGGCGGCGTGGCCGTCTCAACGCCCGAGTCCGAGTTGAGCGTCTCGCTGGAGCCGTTGGAGGAGCCGTCCCGCGCCGTGGCCGGGGTGCCGGGCGCATCCCAGGCGAGCGCCGCCGGCAACCGGTACACAGCAGGCCGGCCAGGCCGTGTCCGTCGGCCGAGCCGCGTCGGCCCGCACCGGCGGCGGCTCTGTCGGCAGGCTGGCCGTGCGGCCCGCGCACGTCCGTCCTCTCTCGCCCTGGCATCCAGCTGCGGCTGCGGCTGCGGCTGCGGCTGCGGCCTGCGGCTGCGGCTCCGGCTCCGGCAAGCGCGAGGAGGCCGCGCAGACACGCGCTCAGGTCGGCCAGCGGGCCAGCCACCGCGCCGAATGATGGCGGCGGCGGCGGCGGGGGCGGCAGCGGAAGTGGCGGCGCGGCACGCCCGTCCAGCTGCCGCCCAGGCCGGTGCCGCCGAGCGGTCCCAACAGCCCAGTGTCACCGTCGTCTAGGCCCAGGTAGGGCAGACCAACGGCGGCGGCGGCGGCGGTGCCGAAGGGCGCGGCGTCGCCGCCGGCCGCAGCCAGCTCCTCGCAGCGAAACTTCTCCACCCGGCTGCTGATGTGCATCTGGATGGCCTGGCGCGCCTGCTCCACGTCGGCCGGCTGACCCACCACCTCGAAGATGGGCCGGTGACGGCGCGAAGGCGTCGTGATGTACGTGCTTGTGTCCTGCTGGATGCGCTTGATGGTGGCGCCCTTCTGGCCCACCACCAGGCCCACGAACTCGTACGGCACCTCCACCGACACGGTGACGTCACCCTCGCGCTTGGGCGGGCCCAGCGCCGGCGCCGGGCCGCCCGGGTTCTGGCGGCGCGCCTCGCGCAGCTGGCTGAAGTGCTCCGCCGCCGCCAGGATCTTCTTCTTGGCGAAGCCCACGTCCTCCTTGCGACCTGGCGGTGTGGGAAGGCTATATGGGTCCAGTTCACTGCTGACGGGTACGTTTGGTTCGCGAGCGCGCCGTAGCCGTGGCCTAATGCCAGGATAGGTAAGTCACAGGTGGCACGGGATGAGCAGGTGGCGCCGACGGCGGCGCAACACGACAAAAGGTGAACGCCGAGCGAAACTTGGTCTTGTGTTCCTGACATCGCAGCAAACGTACGTCATACCAAAACGACTGGGCCACGCCGATTTGTGCCCGGTCGGTAAGCGCCGAAACAAAAAATAAAGTTCGCATCATTAAAAAAGACTGAAAACGGCGTGACAGTTAAGTGGCAATGCAATGTACGCCCAGGCAAAACATGACAACGGCAGCTGCTGCCATCAGTCAGCATTGGCATCAAGCCTATTAAAAAATGCGGTCCGGCAGACGAAAGTGATTCAAGAAAATGGGACAAACGCCAAACCAAAGGATTTGCGAGGATTGGGCGAGGACAACATTCGTTTCCTCCATCCCCGTTAGGGGCAATTTTACGCAGGCACATCAGAACAGACAACAATAAGACCATTCTGATAAAACATCTACGCGTGCTTCACCACGGACAAGGACGGCGAAAGCTATAAAGCAGCAAAACCGAGCGTAACCTCGTTGAAGCAGGACTGTAAAACATTAGTCAACCGTGCCAAACACAGAACGTTTTACAAATAAATGCTGATGAGCTAATAAACCAAGCAGTCATAACCTTGACTTTGAGAATAGCATTTATCGCACCGACAGCAATTACTGATAGAGGTCTCCCTTGTCAGATGCCGCCAGCACGCAGAACGAAGCGAAAACAGATGCGTCCACCACGCGATGGTGATGCCGCAGGCCACGCCGCGTGGCGTACCTGTGATGACAAACACCGGCTCTTCGTCCCGCTTCGGCGTCTTGATGTACGTGTTGGTCTCAGCCCGGATGTTCTTAATCTTTCCCCCTGAAACAGACAGCGGGCGTGAATCATGCTGTGCGGAAAACGCAACATGCGGCGCGGGGGCTGACAGCACAGCCGTCCGCGGTCTCAGAGCCTTCTGACAGCCCGGGCAGCGCTCAGCATATGGATAAGATGGCGAGGACAGGAGACAGGCAAGGTTGATTTATCTTACGTGTGGGAAGTCCGACCCGGCACATGCGACGACATTCATGTGTTTTTGCCTCATCACGTTAGGACAACCATTCTCTTCTTTTTTGCCCGGGTCGTAAGCAAAAAAAACCGACTACGTCATCATTTCGTCATTAGCATTACTAGGCGTGATTGAGGCTGATGCATCACAACACAGACGACCGGCGCGGTCAGGACGCACGGCGGGCCGCGACCGCCCGCGTGCAGCACGCGCCGGCGCAAGTCATCCCGCGAGCGTGCAGCACGCCCTTGCAGCCGCGTACAGCGCGGCAGGGAGAGCGCCGCCAGCTATGAGCCGCTACAGATCGGCTTATTGAGACGACCACTCTGTGTTTCTAACTTCCTAAGCTATCGGGCTCCTCTGCTCCTAATGACGAGCGTTCTCATCGCTTGGTCACCGTTCGCCACGTCATAGTATACTGCAGGCATTTTGCCGGGTCCTTCGAGTCCTACTTCGCCGCGTTCGCACGGTGACCGAGTAGCCAACGCGTGAACATCAAAACACAGCGTCTGCAAGCGGGCATGGTCATCAGAACAACAGGCTTCAGGTCGCCAGTTCTTCCGGTATACCTCATGCAGTTATACTGACATTTGAGACCGCATTCCGTATTCAAAGAACCCTTCGTCACCGTTCTGGAAGTCTAGCATGCTCCCAGCATCACGTAAAACGCCAACATAAGCATATTTAGTTAGACGCGTCCCACGTCGAATGAAGAATTCTTTGACTGCTTATCTGCCGAATAAAAAAACAAAAACGGTGCACCATTTGAATCCTTCTTTTCAAAATCTGCAAGTTTTTCTTGCTCCAAGTTAGCATCTGTTATGAAGCATACCTTGTTCTCACATAAAACCAGTGTAAACACCGGCGTCTCCAATCAGTCCTTGGTGTTTGGACCATCCTCCTGATCTGCCAGCACGCGCCAACCACGTCCTGCACGTCCTCCGACTCCTCCCCGAGCCTCGGTCGCGCCCGTCCTGCACGTCCTCTGGACACCTCCCCGCGCCACATCCTGCACGTCCTCTGAACTTCTCCCCAGGCCTCGGCCGCGCCCGTCCTGCCCTCTGGACTCCTCCCCGGGCCTCGACCGCGACCGTCCTGCACGTCCTCTGAACTCCTCCCCGCGCCCACGTCCTGCAACGTCCTCTGGACTCCTCCCCGCGCCACGTCCTGCACGTCCTCTGGACTCCTCCCCAGGCCTCGGCCGCGCCACGTCCTGCACGTCCTCTGAATTCCCCCCCCCCCCCCCCGAGCCTCGGCCGCCTACGTCCTGCATGTCCTCTGACTCCTCCCCGGGTCTCGGCCGCGTCGTCCTGCATGTCCTCTGAACTCCTCCCCGCGGCACGTCCAGCACGCCCTCTGAACTCCTCCCCAGGCCTCGACCGCACCACGTCCTGCACGTCCTCCGAATTCCCCGCGAGCCTCGGCCGCGCTGCGTCCTGCACGCCCTCTGACTCCTCTCCGGGCCTCGGCCGCGCCATCGATCATGGCCACACCCGCACATGACCACAGGCGTCATCGGCCGGCGAAGCGACCGGCGGCCGCTCTGCAGCCGGGCCAGCTGGGGAGCTCGGCTACAGTGCACGCCGCGTGACACAACTCGCCAGTGCGCGTAACGGCTCTCCACACACCGCAGAGCAGTGGAACATTGGCATGTTTTTCCCGGTATGTTGCATACACCGTCGCCATCTATCGGGACCGGTCGTCATAATATAGCCAGCTCGTGGCAAGCCAAGCCAGCCTGAGCCCAGCGACTGCAGTTTCATCTCTTACGTGATGCGTCGTCATCTCTTACCATTCTGACTTTCCTCACTACTCGCCACCCACATCCAGGCGATCGGGAGCGCCGCGCCACGAGCCAACGGGCCGCAGCCAGCGTTATAACGCACACTCCATCCCTGCGCAAAACAATAATGAAAGTCGCACGATCCGCCAGGGAACGACTGCCAACATGCACAATGACCACGCGATAACTATGCAATTAAATGACTTTCCAGCCAGTGGTAAGAAACCCGTGCTTCCACGAAGCTGCTTCAAAGCCTGTGGTAACCTCGGCCCAGTACTGCGCGGCACTTTCCCTCTCCGCCTCCTCTCATTCGTCTGCACATTTCATTAAAGTTATTATGTTCTGCACCCGACAACAATGTTGCGGGCTCCATGGTAGTTTACCCGGTTTGTCTCGGTTGAGCAGGTACGTGAGGTCGTAGCAACGACAAGAACCAGTTTATAGGCAGGTTGCCACTGGAGTATATAACCCGGGTGAAAATAATTGGACCGGCCGTTAAATCGGGCTTTAAGCGTATAAAACTGCAGCATGCTCTTCCTGTTCATTTCGTCTCTCTCTCCCTCTTTTGTCGGCAGTTCTCCTTCCACGACGCAACAATTATGTTAAGTTCTGACCTTGGCAAAGACACCATGAGAGACAAGTGCGCAATGACACTTTCGTCATAGAAACGCTAGCCCATAACGTTGGGACCTAAGCCGAAAATACAGAAACAGTAAGATATCAGTTGTTTGGGGGCTTTTGGGCTTAAAACTGTAAAAAAAACTCACTTTCCGTCTATTAAAAACTAAAATCAATTTGTTTCGGGGTGGACCAGGTCGTTTTACGCTGCAAAGTGACTGAAGGGCAAACATGAGAGGATTGAAAACTGACAGGCAAATACAGGCATATGTAGACAACGACGTACGTCGGACAAGACAAAGACAGGCAAATACAGGCATATACAGACAACGACGTACGTCGGACAAGACAAAGACAGGCAAATACAGGCATATACAGACAACGACGTACGTCGGACAAGACAAAGACAGGCAAATACAGGCATATACAGACAACGGCGTACGTCGGACAAGACAAAGACAGGCAAATACAGGCATATACAGACAACGACGTACGTCGGACAAGACAAAGACAGGCAAATACAGGCATATACAGACAACGACGTACGTCGGACAAGACAAAGACAGGCAAATACAGGCATATACAGACAACGACGTTCGTCGGACAAGACAAAGACAGGCAAATACACAGGCATATACAGACAACGACGTACGTCGGACAGACAAAGACAGGCAAATACAGGCATATACAGACAACGACGTACGTCGGACAAGACAAAGACAGGCAAATACAGGCATATGTAGACAACGACGTACGTCGGACAAGACAAAGACAGGCAAATACAGGCATATACAGACAACGACGTTCGTCGGACAAGACAAAGTTGAATGGCGAACGACGAGCAGGCGCCCCCACGGTCAACAGACAACCGTTATATCAGAAACACTAATCAGACATTCGTGCATTGGTAAATCTAGGTAGTAAATGAAGAAGACAAGACAATAGCATAACTAACGACCGCTGCGTAGGCAAGAATACAACAGACAAGCCGCGATGGGAATCGAACCTACAACCATCGGTTATGCTCGCCGCATCAGCAATCCACACAGTCCCTCTAAATGAGCTGTCACATCACTACGGTTGGGCTCGGGCGAGCTTGCTCCGTCCCGACCCGAGCGTGACGTGTATTACACCGAGTGACACGCCGAGGCAGGACCAGGTGCAATCAAGGCGCAGCTGGAGGCCATAAAGACGCCCTGTGTGGTCGGCCCCCAGAAGCCTTTAAAGCTCCACATCCGGCGTGCTGCTGCGCGAAGCGGCAGAGGGGAGGGGAGGGGAGGGGAGGGGCAGCTTTTCCTGGGCCATGGCGCGGCATCAAGCAACAGCGCACTGATGTACACACGGGCAGATCCACGTGTGGGTCGGGCTAAAAAACCATCTCCGGTCCAGCGCATCGCTGGCTGAAGAGGCCGTTGACGCTGTTGACCGCCTACATATAGTTTGCACAGTCTGCACACAATGTAACTGATGCCATATGCGCGTGAGTGCGGTGTGCTGTTACGCGCACCATAAATGTCGGCAAAAATTACATGAGTTAGGGATTACGCCTCAGCCGCACACCTAACTGAGCCCACCGGACTGCTCCAATATCACGTCATATGCTGTCAGAAGAGCTGAAGGCTCAGCGCGTGCCAGGCATTTCGTCAAAGGCACGAGCACAGCCAGGAAAAGGGGCCCAAGGGACCTACCCTTATGAGACGCGATTGCTTTTATTTTCACCAAATGGCCTTCCAACAGAAAGTTTTAAAAATACAGCGTGACGCGTTCTCCGCTGAAGTCCACTCACGAAAATCCCTGACTGCGCCCCTGGTTTACGGAATTTATCGATATTTTACGGTAATTCACTTCCACCTCTTCAGTCGTCTGCCGTGCGTTTCCTCAAACACCTCGTGGGTGGCGGAACGATATCAAGACGTCCATCTCTTAACAGTACAAACATTGGCCCACCCTAGTTCTGGAAGGCTATTGACCCCAGTGGCTCCGGCCTTTTTACCATCGGATTCCTTACAAAGCTACCACGAAACCCTGCTTCCAGTTGACTTATAAACTTTCCTCTGGCCTTTGTCGGCTGGCGCAAGAACCCCCCCCCCCCCCTCACGAGCAACAGCACATCTACGCGGCATCTTCCCTCCCCCATCACCCCTCAGCAGACCCGCACCTCTCGCCCAGTGCCAATCAAGGACGGCAGTCGACGCCGCGGAGAACGCACGGAACCCCGTCCGTGGCCAGCCGGCCGCCCATCCACGCTTCACCGTACGCCGCCGCTCGCTCCCACGATCGCCCGCGTCCAGCGCCCTCCCCCGCCACGGCGCCCGGGGCACGATAGGGTTCAAGGGCAGCCAGGGCGGGGCGGCGCGGCGCGGCTGCCCGGCAACCCACGTGGTTGCGCGGTGGGGCCGGCCCGCCCCCCCCCCCCGGCCCTTCCGTCCCCTCCGCGCGGTTTCCGAGACGGCCGGCTCCGACCCGGTCAACAATGCGCCTCAGTGGTTAGCGGATAGTGGGCCGACGGTCAGAAGAGCGCGATTTTCTTCCCGGGCCCCGGCGTCTGGAAAAGGTCGAAGTTCAGAGCGCCGGCACTTCGAGAGGGTTGGGTTGGGGGGGGGGGGGGGAAGCGATTTTCGGCAGCCACCGGCTTGGAGCGCGTCGCTTCAGAGGGCCATTGAGGCCCGACAGTCCCGCGCCCGGCAGTCGGCGGCGGCCCGGCTGGGCCGCCGGCCGGCCGCGGTGAGAACAAACAGACTCGCGCCGGGCGGTCCCGGACGGACGGCTGGGGACGCGCGCGGGGAGCACACAACCAGCAGCGGGGCAGCTCGAAATCCCACTAGCCGCGCTCCGGGCAGAGCGCCTGGTCACCACGTGCGGCGCGTTGTGTACCACGACGCACCGAAAAAGGAAACGGTCGATACGACTGACGCACGAAAAGAACCAGCTGAAGCCCCAAACTACATGCGCGCTTTGCTTCTATTAAACATTATAGTTATTATATTAGGCAGCGCGCATTTTTAAGTTCCAGTCCTTCCATAGCTCACAGCTAACGCACGGGCCAAACAATGCAACCAACAAGGCAAATGCGTTCAGCATTTCCGAAATAATTTATAAGAGAGTAAATTGCACCCCAATGCCATGTCAGGCGAACACTGCCCGCCCCGCGTGGTTGCAACATAAATACAACCAGACTATATCAGCGATGTTCTTTATCTGTTAACGCGGTGTCCTACGGACTGCTTGCAGGATCCCAATGACCTC